GCCGGATTGCCACGCGGAGGTCCCATGTTCAATTCCCGGGCCGGGAGAAATATTTCTATGGCCTACATTTATTTCTCTCGTGAGTTTGGGTGTAATTTGTGGTTGTCTATGTGTGCGTCAATGGCACCTGCGACACAGAGTTTCTCTAGTGCGGGGCTATGTTGAATGTGTGCTTTATTATTATTACTTACCCAATTTCCGGTTCTCACTTTTAATATATATCTTTATATTTAAGGGTGGATGTTGAATATGATAATAAAATAAGAAACTACGTCCTGTGCGTAATGTTCTTGGCCTAAATCACCGGGAAAGAGGCTCTTATATTAGTTATTTGCATATCACTAAGACACAAGCATATTAAGATTGTTTGTAACAATACCACTTACACGAGAACAATGGATTTTCCCATCAAATCATATAAAATTGTAGAAACTAAAACGTAATTTGGGCGATATAAGTCTCGTTTAGATATCCCAGTGAAGATATGCTTGCGTTGGCGTACATACATTCACATTGTCGAAATTATGCTTTTGCCACGGCTTTGTCTGTGCGCAGTTGTTTTTTTTTTCCTTTTTATGTCGAGGGCTGTTGGGTAGCACATATGCATACAGCTGAGGTCTATATCCAGCAGTGAACTGCGATAGGCTGATGATGATGCTGTCGAAGGCATTGAAAGTTGGGCTTAGAACGGTAATACCTTTTTCATAGTAGAAAGCTGCCTCTCAAGCAGAAAGCCCGAATTCGATTATTGATGGATGTCCTGTCCAATAGGGTGTTTTTGACGAGTGAAGACAAATGCCATGATAAAACCTACGTATGGAAGAGGGTTTACAGAATTCTTCAAAGCGTATGATGAAGGAGCCTGTGAATTAAGAGACTAGTGCCCATCAGTGAATAAACATGAATTTATAACAACATAACGCTGAAGGAAGAACATATTATTAGAGGCGAAATAGGAGATCTTTCGAAAGGTCAAGAATCTTCTCCCAAACAAAAAGAATTTGGAACCTGGAGAATGAGGTTCCATAGAGAAATAGAAGAACTAGTGTTTGAGCCGAACATGAATGGGGAGATTGAAATCCGCTCGAATTGGCTCGCTACGGAATATAGAAGGAATGGGAGAAGATCGTACTGCTTAAAGAGCTATCTATTTGGAGCAGCCTACGCGTTATCGTCCAGTGGTATGAGATATCGTTGAAAGGATGGAGTCGCAAAGACCTGAAGAAGCTGAATGTGCACGAATGATCAGAATTGGTATAAGACTGAAAAAAATGGCGTACTTTGGTGTCGGAGGCCAAGATGTGGATTTTCGGGTCGCTGAGGCAGCGAAGTAAGTATGACGATACAAATAAACTAACTATAAAAAAATCATGTATACGTAATCGTAAATATGAATATCATTTTCCGTGATTTTGAAGCAAATACATTTATAATGAAGTCTTTGTTTAAAAATTCACATCACTATACAAAATGTCGTTTTGATGTGTGGCAAGATCATCTTTTGATCGACGGATGCGATTTTATATATAATGCATCCGTCTATTTGTATTGTATTTGAATACGCAGTTGGTATGTACGGTTGGCTACACTCTAATTAGGACTGTGATAAAAAACCGTAACACTAAGCGGATATAACTGATTACATCATTAATGGACGTCCATTCGTAGTAAAGGGGATGATATTCATATTATCTTATTTTAAAACAGCACTTACCTATTTATTAAGATTTTAAGAAGAGAAATGGTAACCCGATCGAATTATTACCTATTTCTGCCGCAGCCTTCCAGCTTTGAAGGGTAAGGGTACTGGTGAAATTACAGGCACACTGGATATTTCAATTTATGCCTCAGGGTGACAGGCGCAGAGGCAATGCCCCTCAGAATTTTGTGATTTAAAGCTCTAAGTGGCACTGCAAGTGCTATGGGACGTGTGTCGCTTACCACTACGCGCACAACTTATACGTCCCATCACTTGGTTTTTATAAAAAAAAAGACCTCAAAAGTTCGTGGAATTACATCCATCTGCCAAGTTTTATTGAAATCGGTTGCCGGAAAGTGCGCGAAACCGGATTCATCCCTTAGTTTGCCGCCCTTAGCGGTGGACTATTTTCTTCAAATTTAAATGGGACCAATACTGAGGTACCTTTTTTCCAATTAAAAAAAGTGTCATCAAAATCGGTTCACAAATGCCAATTTGAAAAAATGCAAAACGAGTAATCGCGTAACATACATACATACAAAAAAAATACAGTCGAAATGAGAACCTCCTCCTTTTTTGAAGTCGGTTGACAAAAAATTACGTTTAGGAGTATCTCCTTCTTTCTCAGTTTTCTTATAAGAAATGGCATATATGAGTATCATTCGCGTGACGGCGCTCTCCTTTTTTTTCTGAAGAAATACAAATTGTCAACATTTTTTTGTAAAACGTACGCTATGTCCGCTACACCATTTACATAGTGTTTAAAACGGTTAAAAACGGTAAAGTGACTGAGCTACTGTTTCTATTTGTTCAATGTGTATTGACTCTCATTTGCTTTTAACTACAAGTAATAAGTTATTGTTGTTAAAACCCCTTGTTAAAACACAGCATAATCGAATTATATGCAAATTAATGAACAAATATGAAACGAATTCAGTCATACATACGACCTTAACACACTTAAGGATTACTTCAAAGAAGACGTTATTTTTGTACTTAATAAAATCGTTCTTTACAATTAAATGCTATGTTGCCACACTCTAGACTGCCCGCATGTGCCGGATAAATGAAGCGTGCATACTGAGACAGAATATTTCAAACAATCAGGAACCGAAGATAAATAAAATGTACTGAGACATTATTATTAGCCCCATTTTTATCTGCATTTCGTTTTTTGATATCAGAGACATCTATGTAAAGAAACGCGAACTAAAGTTAATTTCAGTTGAGCAGATTCTGATGATGTTACATGCTTTAGCTTTAGCTTGGTGCGATTAGATGTTATGTCTCTAGTTCTACAAAATTACAATAGATGGCGTTAGTCATTTTCAAAACTTGTATTACAAAATTCGAAGGACGATAAACAAAAAAGAACGTAAACAGAAAAAAGTGTAAAGCAACTATTGTACTTCTATTACATTCAAAAGCTGCAAACATGTAAACAAGTTGAGCTACCTTTGCATTAACCTTGTATTTTCTATTTTATCAAAAAAAAAGATAAAAAGCTTTCACGTTAATGGACTACTGTATTGTTATCACAATTAATGTGTAAACATATACTTTACCTTCTAGAGTCGCGATTGTTCGGCAATAGAGTTTCCCATCCACATCAATATCATGTACAAATTACTTACTAGTAAGTAATATTTTTTGGTGGACTTTTTCATTTGATTTAATAATTTTTATATGATACAGTATAATATCATGATATACATAAATTTATAAGGCAATTTATTCACACGCAATTTATGCTCACAAAACTTTTTGCATTCTTCATATAACATTGGTTTGTGAGATACTTAAAAGTATGAAAATATTATGTGACTAAATTGTATTGTGTTAAATGTCCTTTTGTACGTAATTGCCTATTTACCGCCCTTGTGATAAACGTATTAAAACCTTCATAAGTTGTTGGGATAAATTTTCCGCGCTAGACAAAGGCTAAACTCTCTCTATACCTCCAAATCTTGTGCTATCTTTAAAGAATGTGATCAGATCATCACGCTTTCTTTTTCAAGGTCTACCTCTACATTGCTATGCATTGCATGACTCTCATCTCATCTCTCGTCGTCATTTATTATATACTATTCCATAATAATTTTGTTATAAGAACTTTGTATACTTGTAACATATATAAGAACTATTTGAAATTCTTATTATAGGCATGGGCTAATCTAATGAGTAAAGATGCCAAAAAGCGCTAAGAGTTGACATCGAGTCCATATAACCGACGTTCCAAGTAGAATGGCTAATTTAAACGAAATGCAAGAACGTCGAATTAAAGAGAATCAATGTCATTGGACTCTACAGCACTTAAAATACATCGATTCTGTGAAAAGTATTTATTTTATTGCGTCACACGTTGCGCTGGACAACGAAAATGTTTGATTTTGTCTTTAAACAATAAAGAAGTGCGTAAAAAAATTATGGATGAAGATTTTGGAGAATTAAAACTGCTCAGTTTTGGAAATTGGAGTGATGATTATCTGAATGAAGTAAGCTAGATTTTTAATTCAATTTTTTTTATCGATATTTAGAACACAGTCAGATTGATGACTACCGAGACTTATTTACTTCGGTGGCTATCGAGACGGTTTAAAAAATTGCATGGACAGCCCTCTTGCCGTTAATACAAACTTGTTAAGAAGTCAATGTTTGGTCCTCAACATAGAGAAAAGATGTCTTAAAATTAGTAAAATTCAGGCCCTGGATGACCAATTCACAAGGAGTTCAACTGCTACAAAAGTGATCTTTTTAAGGTTAAACAATTTTTACGAAACCTGTTGTAGATACAATTTTCGTACCTAATTTTAGTGTTACGTGTTGACGAAGTTTAGTGATGATCTGAATTACAGTACAACGCAGTAGGTAACATGAACTAAGATTATTAAGGACCGTGTGCTTTTAGTGTTTCCCATTTTCCTGTATATATGGAAGCATTAACAATTCTGACCAGGGAGAGACAAAGAATTGATGCATTTGAAGTGTGGTGCTGGAGACGGATATTGAGAATACCTTGGATCTCTAAACGTACCAATGTGTCAATCCTGTCTCAGCTTCAAATTAAGACTTGGTTGTGCACCACATGCCATCACATTTCGGCCACATAATGCGCAGAGGTGTAGAAAATTTGGATAAATTGATTGTAGTTGGAAACACGGAAGGAAGGAGTACGAGGTCGCCAACGAGATGGATCGACCATAAGTGAAAAACTCATCGTCCTCCAAATATTGCATTGTCGTAAGAGACGCGGTGCATAGAAACAGATGGAGACAGTGTGCCTCAGAAGTAGGCACGAAGCTGACCACGATCCTCAGATATGAGGGAACGACTAGAGAGAGAAGAATTATTAAACTAATTCTTCTATTTAATCACTTTTTTGACAATGTTTTCTCACTTACAGATAGACACATCAAAGTATCCATTTCCGAACACACTGTGGCATGTCAAACCACCGAAAGAAATCGCCATAAAAACTTCTTTAATGCTAACCATCGTTGTACCAGGTCTTTATTTAAACTTCGTCATTCTCCTGGTTCTAATCAAGAACAAATGGCTATGGAGTGCCAGTAACATTTTAATTGGCAATTTGGCATTTGTGGACTTTTTGATTTTGCTGTTAGCACCGTGGTTCATGTTGGTTAGAGATTTCTATCAGAACTACGTGTTGAAACATTTTGGATGTCGTTTTGAAGGGTATTTACAAGGTAACTTTTAAATATTTCAATGCATTTACTTGTTTACAAACAGTATGTTAAATTCCTGTCACTGTCTCTTCCAATTTTACATTCGAACTCCAAAATTATTTAAATTAATTTTTAAACGATTTAAAAATCCTCCATTTTTTTTTTCAATTTTTTGTTGTCAATTCTGTTCGTTACGCGATTACTCCGACATTGGGAACCGATTTCGATAATTCTTTTTTTGTTGGAAAGGGGTTACCTCAGTAGTAGTCCCATTCAAATTTGAAAAAAGTATTCAACCTCTAATGTTAACAAATTAGGGGATGAATCCAGTTTATAGGATTTCACCCACTTTCCGTCAACCGATTTCAATAAAACTTGGCAAATAGACGTAATTCCATAAATTTTTGAGGTCGGTTTCTTTTTAATAAAAATGTTATAAAGTTTATAAAGGTGTTCAAAATTGACGGCAAATCACATCATGTTTGTATACCTACTTAAAGTTTATATTTCTTAAAGTTATCCGAATGCTTGAACAGTTAAAATACTTAAAGCTGTCAAATATTTTCATTAACAAATTGTACGGACCGATTTCAATTTTTATAAAGTATTTTTTTTTCCAGCATCCCTTCTATTAGCAAACGTAGGTTCTGTGATTCTCATATCATACGACAGACTAGCTGCAGCAGTATTGACAGCAGAAGCTAGAGTTACAAAAAATGCAGCTCCGAAACTCATTCTTATGGTATGGGCAGTAGCTCTCATAATTTCTATACCATGGATTACTTGCAGGGAATATGCGGTAAGGCAACAATGAATATTGACAGAAATCAATTTCGAAGATCTTTCTTTTATCATATTACATTGTAACACCAACAACTAGTATCTGAACATCTATGTATATGTTAAAATGTGATTAAAACATGATAGATACTATATATATCATGATAGATATGTATACATGTAAACACTTTATTGGACAACAAAATAAAATTACAAATTTTTACAAAGAATTTAAAAACGTTAGCGTACAAAAGCCATAAAAGTATTTCTTCCAGCTAACCTTTGAATAATTGAAAGGAAAGGTGGCTCATGAATCGGCAATAAAATCTAATAAATCACGAAATTGAATATATATACATGCTCAATAATTACAAGAATCAATGTATTCCATCAAATATACACGCGAATACAAATATATTAAGTAAATGTTGATGATAGGAAATGAAACTAATTTTCCGGATTTAAATCGCGTATATTTGTTTTTTCAAACAAATCGACGTTTCGGGCCCTTTACAGGCCCCATGGTCCCAGTTGACTGAGGTGGTACAGTCTTCAACCAGTTATGTCTAATATTGATGCAAACCACCCTATTTTTTCACTATAGTTACAATAGTTATTAATTAACTACCTTATTTTTAATTTTACAAAGAAAACATTCCAATTTACGCTATATTAAGTTTTACAAATTATTTTATCGAATGAATTTTTATTAAGTTCAATTTATTATTAATTATTAATAGAAATTAGAATAAACTAAAACATATTAATTAGTACTGCAGTCTTATGTCTGTTTGGGATTTTTCATTAGAAGAAATACTGGATCCCAAACTGGTGGTACGGAGAAACCATCTTCCCTGTTGAAATTAGGATGTTTTTTGATTTCAATGGCCTCTCGCAGCATCCTGGGTAGAAAACGCACTTCTATTGCAAGGACCTGGGGTTTGTCAAACTTCATTGAATGTGTAGGTTGCTCCGTGACATGCTCGCAGGCTGCAGACTTGGTTACGTTGAAAATGTGTTCCTTTCCAATGACACTTGAACGTTATGTCTATAAATCTCAGGAAATGAACTTTTTTGGATCTGAATCGCGTACACCTATTTGTGTTTTCAAACAAACCATTGCGAGCGCTTTACAGCTCCTATGGTGACGGCCGTTTAGATTCGAAAAAATAGCTTCATTACCTACATTGAGTTACAATCGCGAAAATCTAAAAACTCGATACAGTCAAGGCAATTGGTGTCATATACATATTTTGAAAAGAAATGCCATTGATTCTTTAAATAATCAATGGCGAAAAGTATTGAGAATGACTGTACCTACGGAAACCATATTTCGGGTTGGGTAACCACGTATCTGATAATGTAGTATTAACTTATAACCTAGCCCTCGAATACTTTTGTCCAGGAACGCCAATGGTTAGACTATCTGGAGATGTATTGTGTGGAAGATCCTAATATCCTTAACGTGTACTGGCATTTCGTAATCTCGCTACTGGTGTGGATGCCATTGGGTCTTATGTCTATTGCGGTAAGTGTGAATAACAATATGACTTACTAATAACATGTTTACAATTTATGACAATTACGAGATATAACTAGTGTTGTAAAAAACTCGATTCCGGGAGTCTTTATTTTAAGTGTCGACTCCTATTCACAAGAAGACTCGATTCATAAAAACAGATACTCACTACTCGATGTATTACGAGCCTATTGAATTTTCAAACAGACTCGAATTCGACATTAGTGCTCGAGTCTATTTGTGTAGATAGATAACACGTTTATTCAGCACAAATACAAACAGAAACAAAACATTTACAATCACTTCACAGAGTTGTAGTGTAATTACTATCGTGTATTTATGTATTAATATCTTCTTACTTTCATAAATCGCCATATCGGGATTTGGTTTTTATTTAATTCGTGGACTAATTATAAATTTAATAGTAGTTGTTCAGTAAAATTGAACCTTGCTTGTCGTACTCGAGACTTTGTAGTGTAGAAGTCGCTTCGAGTCGAATTTTCGAACTCGAGTTTTGTTCAAATTCGAGTTAGGTTTACCACTCGAGTTCTTTTTAGACCCAGTCTGTGCACCGATGACTAGCTGTCGGCTTCACTCAGACATCCGTTCGAAACAATTACTGACAAATAAGCAACACTCGATTATATTAAAATTCGCATCATGCGAATGAAGCTTCATATTATATCTTATCTTTTGATTTGGTCAAGTATTACAGTAATTGTTTCGAACGGAATGTCGAAACGAGATCGAGAGTTGATGCACAGGTGAGATGGAGGTCAAAGGCAGGCGTCCACAGATCCGCAGCGCACGCATCGTACGGACCGCGTTATACGGATTTTAGTGTTCTTTGTATAGAAGTTCATACAACTGCGTCCACTGATCCGCATCGGTCGGTAATGCCGACGCAGTTCCTCGGAGGAGCAACTTTTCCGATGCGTGTCGACGACGCGACGTCATACGGATTGCGTATCAGTGGACGCAACAGCGCGCGCCGCCGCGTCGCGCCGGCTGTCATTTGCTATTTGTTAAGAAGACTAAAAATTTAGCATGAGACATACGAAAATACTGGAAGAAATTTACGTCGTCGTTTAGCAAATCAGAAATTCTCTGTGTTGCGATATCTTCTTAAATATGTCATATATCCAGATATCATGTTTCCTTTTTTTCTCTTCTTTCTTCTTCTGCCAACAAACAAGCCACCACGACAAATTATTCATCACTTTCCAAATCCATTGTCTCCCACACAGAAGTTACACTCGTCCGCTCGCTACAAAAAGTGGCGTCGGCAATCCGATAGTTACTAGTTGCGTCAATCCGATTGCTGCGGATAAAGTGGACGCACTATCACGTTAGATGCGATCCGACCGATGCTTGCGCTGCGGATCTGTGGACGTCTACCTCAATATATAGTTGTATATGTTATTTAAAAAAAGTCCTTTTTGTGTAGCAGTCGAAAATAAACAAGTGATCATGATTATCGTTAAAGAAACAAGAAGTCATTATTATCGATAAATATTACGTAACTAGCGAATATACCTAATTAATGATGATCAACTTGGACACGCAATTTCAAATACCTTGGTTACCTTATTTAAAGATATGTATGTACGTATATGTCCAAAATATAACATTTTAAGTGCTTTTAATATATTTTTTAAACAACTCTTCAATATTAATCTAGTTAGTGAATTAATGAAAAATATGATATTATATCGATATAAATAGATATGCGTAATTTTTAGGATTCTGGATTATATTAATAGAATCATAGATACATAAATATTCGCGTTAGCATTTTCGCTATGTTGCCGCTCTGATCACGTAACGTTATAGTGCAAGAAAGTCATGGGTAACCCTGCCACTTCACGCACACATTTGCGCGTGTGCAGATAACGCCTTGCTGTATGTAGTAGCAGTAGGTAAATGATTTTCGATCGTTGTACGGAGTGTCCGGGGTGTGCTATAGGTAACTCTTAGGTAGTCTTTAGTTCAGGTAGTAATATCACCAATATTTATGAACGACACTTTCATTAACATAAATTTGTTTCCTCTACATTAATTTACAAGTATGGAGCCATCATGTGGCGCTTAGAATGCAGTGCCAAAGAACTTTCATCTCGTGGAGGAGGTCAACTTGTAACAAGAGCTAAAGGAAGAGCAATGAGAGTAACTGCCTGCGTGTTATTAGCTGATGTTATTTGCAGAATTCCTTTCTCTGCTATGCTGTATTATAGATACAGAAATAATATGTTCATTAATGCCGTAAGTAAATTGTGTAAGACGATAACCTATTTTAAAGCATTTTACAAATAAATCACAGTACAGTTTTATCCCATTCATCTTTCTTTTTTTATGGCTCTATGTATACCAAGACATGGCCGTTCAGATTTGTCTTATGTTCGACGAAAAATAAAATCGTGTTATGGCGCGTTTACAGTAGGTCAACTGGTCGCTTCCGCGCGCCCTTCGAGGGCGGTAACTAACGCAGTATGAACACAGTCGTTTGACGACTGTAATCCGCTGCCGAAGTCGATCAAATCGACTAGGTGGAGTCACTGGAGCAACTTGATCGCCTTCGGCAAGCGACTGTCGACCAAATAATTTCCACCGTGTCGGTGGTCGCAACCCATTATGATGCGGTCGCTTGGACCGAGGAGTACAATATTATAATGATTTGTTGGATTTGTGTTAAAATTCTTGTATTTATAGTGATGCGATTTCGGCATGGCCATATCCGCGAAAACGGCATTCAATTCGTATAATCAGCGTATCAACTGCGCTGCCTTCGTCAGTCGACTCGAGTTTGATTGCTGAAGAGGCGGCAGTCGACTCTATGTAAACAGAGAGTGACGTCCGCCGCCTTCGGCAGTCGAATTCACTTGCCGAAGATGCGGCAGTCGACTCGGTTTAAACAACATATCAACTGCGCTGCCTTTGTCAGCCGAATGCACTTACCGAAGAGGCGGTAGACGACTCGGTGTAAACAGCGTGTTAACTGCGCCGCGCCAAAGTAAAATTCGCTTACCGAAGAGGTTGCAGTCGACTCAGTGCAAAAAGCGACTTGATGCGTCTCCTTAGGCAAGGTGAAGTTGTCTATCGCAGCGACAGAGGACCTTATGTAAAGCGCCATAGTTCTTTATTCATTTTTATAACCTTTGACCAATTTCTCTGCAGGTGGATGTAAATTTCGAGATTTTTTGGTTTGCCTCCAATACTCTGATGTTTTTCAACTGTAGCATTAACCCTCTCATCTACGGGTTTACCAACAAAAGATTTCTGAAGGCTATGGATAGGACTCCCGGTGTATCTTGTTGCAAATTTGGATCCTGGTGCTGTGTTTGTGGTTCGGTAAGAACCTGTTGTTACCTGCTGATTTAAGAATAGCTGTATGGCATTCTGTAGCTTGTGCTATTCAGAAAACTTAAGCGTCTGAAGGGAAAATCAATGTCCTTGATTTCATTTTCATTTATTTCTTATCAGATTTTCTTTGAATTTTATTTTTGTTCTTACAATAGCTGCCGTCTACGGGTCTTTTAAAATAAAGGACTCTTAAAAAAAATTGCAGAGGAATGATGTTTGCGTGTCTGATACGTCAAGACAGTTTTAGTACAGGAGCATTATAGAAGGAAAGAGACGTACAAAAAGACCGAGACGAAGTTATTTCGATCAGTTATGGGAAAAAGTTAAAGTCGTGTCATTATCGGGAAATCGAAGTTAGGGTGCTGAACAAAGATGGTTGGCGAATACTCCACCGACAAAAGCCTAGCTCCATTGACCTACCAACAAATGGACGACGGGTCTAATACAACAACCACGAAAAAAAGTCCGAAGTTAACCTGTACAAACTTAGTGACATGTAATATATGTAACGAAATATAAAAAAACTAAAACATTTAATTTAAATTGTAACATCATTGTAGTACTGCCTAATTTAGCTTGCAACAATTTAAAGGGCCCAAAAACACCATATTCAGCTTATATTGGAAGCTTAATAAAATGCACCATATTTAGCTTCGACTGAAAATTACTAGAACACAACAGTAATGGAGCAGCCTTTATTGTAAATATCAATTAATTTTTGTGTATATGTCAAATTTTGTACAAATTCATTTCAAGAAATAATAAAGAGTTGGGCACACACACACATACAAATATTACAAATGTGAAACTAAGCGTGTACTTTAAGAAATGTACCGATATTCCAACTAAACGTAAACTTAAATATTTGTAATTCCGAAAATCCGTATCCGTAATTTCAAGTAATTTTGATGCTTCTCACAAAGCCAAAATTAGCTTTTGTTTTGTAATATTCCTAAAAAAATACATTTGACTTTATTAAAATTGAGCTAACGTTATTTCGGGCAAATGTATTTTGTGACTTCTGATAGGTAATCCCTAGTCGTAAAACGAGTACAACAATATTTTGTTAGTTATTGCTAACGTTTAATAGAGTCATTCCAAAAAATAAGATTAAAATCAAGACGATTCTGTAGATTCTTTGTTCCAAATATTTAAATCGCTTATGTTTCGAACAATTGAAAATGACCAAAAAGTTTATATAAGCTTCTTGAAATTGACGTAATGGGTCTCTTTCCATCTTTTGCGCATGCAATGTGTAGAAAAAGGACAGTTAGTTATTTGATTATTTTGTTTGCTTTTGAAATTTATATTTACGATTTATTTATATGTATATAAATTAAATATTATACAACTGTACAAAATAACACTTTTAAATGTTAACTATGATAACACAATATATTTTTTTAGTGAAAATGTGATACAGAATCCAGTTTTTACACTTTACTGCAGTAATTTTTACAAGTTATTCTTATATGGTACTGCATGATTGACAACCGCGCTATCAGTCGAACAAACGGAGACTGTTGCGCGATTGACGCTCTGTATGCGATTTTAACACCCTATAGGTGCGGACACTTTTTAGCGCGAACCCGATGTCCATTTGTTAGTAGGTCAATGCCTAGCTCCTAAATAATTTTTATTTTAACGGATTTTTTTTCTAGAAGAATTTTTGAATTTGTAGAAGTCAAAGAAAGTCAAGAGAAAATTAAAGTACTCGTATAAATACTAGAAATACGGTAATAAAAAGGTTTGGTTAATAAAAACAACACAACTCGAAAGAGATGAAAAATTCTACAGTATTTCTTTTTTATATTTCAGACGAAAAATAAGGAACTTCAAACAGCGGACAAAAATACTGAAAAGATTTTCATAATAGAAAGTGATGTACGTCCCAATAAGAAACTCACCAGAATGATCAGAAACATTCTGCACATTAATAAAGATGTTTTAGAATTAAGTGTGCCTAAAGTTGAAGAGGTTACCAATAAACCCACTAAATTGACACCTTTGAAAGATGATTTTGCATAAATCGATATCGATAAACCGTACCTTCGTCTTGGTATAATAAAGCTACAGCTACATGTGATTTTGCGTCAAAACTGCTTTTATCACATGAAAGTCATAAAAATAATACAAACTCCATGAAACTTATGTATAATTATGTGATATTTTGTAACTCTCATATTTAAGCATGAAAAAGTAATCATACAATTTCTTACATATGATCTTTAACCTCACTCTTAGAAAGTTGTTATTTTGCAAATGTGGCCTTATTACACCAACAAAAGGTGCAAAACTGAGTTCTTACATTTCAGCATTCCAAAATTTCTTTTTTCAGATAGGCGTTGTAGCTTTTAAAATTGAATGTTTTATATATAAAAAAAATAACACTGTGATCTATTCTCCCTTTATAAGTTATTATTTTGAAGTAGTAGTATCTATTAACATAACATTTATTGTAGCGTTCTTATAAAAAAATACGATTCTTATGAAATAAATTTGGCATATAATGTTTTGATTTTTATTTTTAAGGCTTACATAATTCAAATAGAAATAATGAATAATAAAAACTTAGATAAATAACTTATTTTTAATATACACTTAACTGACTCTGGATTCTTATGTTGTGCAGACTGACTTTCAGCCAGTTTCTGTCGTGGAAAGCTACTGTCCAACTGTCCACCAAGTAGTTGTGCACTAGAAAGTAACGTATCCAAGGCATACTAAATATATAAATAAATTATTCTTCTCAGTTTTTAAGTTTAAGTATTCAGTGTAACAGTAATTAAACAGACAAAACTAGCGATTCTAGAAGAATTTTCCTAACGTACTAATATTCTTACTCGACATCAGAATAATATACAATACCAATATTTATTTTATTGAATGTAATGATGTTTTTACAACTATGATGTTTGTGTATTTTTAACCGACTTAAAAAAAGGAGAAGGTTCTCAATTCGACTGTATGTTCTTTTTTCTTTTTTCTTTTTGTTTTTGTATGTATGTTACGCGATAACTCCGGTTTTTGTGAACCGATTTTCATGATTCTTCTTTTAAATTTTTTTATAAATAGAGCCTAACTTTAATTTAGGAGCAATTACTTTAATGGTTGATTTTGCTATTTCTCCCATTCAAGGCGTTTTTCTCTCAATATACTTTGAGTAGTGTCGTAGTGAGAACCTATTTTTATTATCTCCAGTATCAAGTCCTGTATAGTGGCGAACTAGGGGATATTTCAATAAAACTTAGCAAATAGCCGTAATTCCACGTACTTTTGAGGTCGATTTTTTTAGTACTCTGTACTGAGATTATTGGTGAATATACTCCACTAGTTCGTTATTGTTATTGGTACAAAGATACTTCTATCTGTGAGGGAATTTTGTGTTTGAAGAAACACGAACAAAAATTCCCTCGATCCAACTGGACTCGAACCACTGACAGTTGCCTCACCGTGGCTACCGTTCTTATTAACTTAGCTACTGGTCGAGTCAGTTGATTTTACTATACGTTTGCTACCAATCTTTGTATTATACCTAATACAAAGATTGGTAGCAAAGTAACGGCTCAATCCGAAGCTCAATTAATAATAGCCAAGGTAAGGCATAAGACTCGAGTCCAATCGGATCGAAGGAATCTTTCTTTGTGTTTGTTCGAACTTTGTATCAGTAATAACTATATATGTTTATATGTGTGTGTGTGTGCGTGTGTTGATTTGCATTCTCGCCGTATTTACAAAGGTCATTCTATATCCGAAACTGAACCCAAATCACTAAACAAATAAATCGAAAAAAAAAATTTTGTAAATTTCTTTTTTTTTATATAATTGCGGTAAACAAATTGGATCTAAAGGTCATTGACTTGCACGGCACTTGCAAACATTTTGAATGGTGCCCTTAAATGCGCAGAAACAAAGGCATTTTAGATTTGTTTGGTGGTGGGGTGCAGGTAGCGACGGCGGGGGAGTGTCGTATCGAGCGCGCGATTGGTAGATCAGTCGATCTCGCTTCCCGTACTGCGTCTACGTCACGCTGACATCCCACATACTCTATTCTAGTCTGTCATGAAATGCCACGCGGTTTGGTATATAAACAAAAGTTAGTAGTAAAAACAAGAACCGCTATCAGGTTCAGCAGAATCTGCATGGTAATACATCAAGTACAAGTGCGTGTCTATTCTTATGGCATGATGTGAAACGTTTAGTTTACGCGAAGGATATGAGTGTCGAAGTTTCTGCTATGGAACTAAGTACTTCTAGCAATACTTTCATGTAACCTAAAGTTGGTAAATACCAAATCTAAGTTACAAAAAAATACTTTTTTCACTCAACTTTTCTAATTAATGTAAATAAATAGCAAATTATAACAATACTAGTACAGATCATAATAAAAAAAAATGGATAGGTAAATAAGCGATCGACTGCCCTCGCGTGGTGCAAACGAGTGGAGACAATTTTACAAAACATTACTAGATACGATTAGGCAGAATATTGAACAGAATATATTTTTTAATATTTTAGATGATTTAGCATTATTTTTATTATTAATTTCTTAAATATGGCGAGAATGCAAATCAACACACTGTATATATATACCAAATATTGTCTTCTTAGCTGTCTTTTCTAATTACATTTAATTTCTATACTACAGCTAATGAATAATATTTTATATTCTTCCTTATTCTTTCTTCAATCCACGGAAATGCAGTCTGCCTCATCTATCGTAATGTCCAATTGACTGGACAATTCTTTGACCTTAGCTTCTAATTCAGTCCTCATATGGGGCTCTACTCGGAGGATGTTTACGGCCTCTTGCAGTAACGTCATACATTCCATTAATTGATCCTGCAAACCATCTCAATTTTATGAACAGGACAGGGGAAACAGTATTTAATTCATAGATTTGACCCACAAAGTCGTTTTGGTTCACCAATACCGTGGTTCACCATTGTAAAGGAAAATATGGATAAATGTTGATTTTTTATTTTCTATGTCACAAACTTCAACAATAGTAATATGCAAAGTTATAGAAAACCTTAAGTTCGGCTGAAAAAACCAGTCTCAGTATATGTTGTTAATAACATAATATAGCTACAAGGAGCTATTAAAAATAGGTCAATAATCAGTCAACACGTAACTAAACCAAATTGTATACTTGGCAATATGCCAACTGGTCCGAGCGTTTCAAATAACAGCAACACGCTGTCAAATAGAAACAAATAGACTATCAACTTTGACAGCGAAATATTTTATCTTAAAAATCACCTACCACAGTCGGTATTATTTATTACCGATCTAGTACGTAATCATGATATATAATGGTTAAAAGTAACTACGAAAAGGAGAAAAAAATATATGGAAATGGTCTGTTGCAATGGACAATAATGATAAATGGTTTTCAAATAGCAAAACCAAAAAAAAAAGATGAACTAAGGTTAACACAAGCTTAATTAACAAACTTGTATAGAAATTAAGAGTGACAGCTGAGTGACAGAAGCTGCTTGATATTAGGACCGCTTCCAAGTTATATGACCGTGATTAATCAAAACTATTTATAAAGCAATAACTGTCTAGATCGAAAAGACTCCTAAGAGTGTATAAATCTATGGTACAAATATGAAGAATAAGCTTGAAATAATTTTGATATACTCGATTATTTAATGAGATATTAAAGTAGGTGGTTACCTGAACGTATGGTGACTAAAGAACGTAGCACCTACTCCTAACCGTTTTAAATATCGTGCCATGATATTTTAATGTTTGTAAAAATAAAATTTACCCGAGCTCCAGCTTTAGTCAACTTTTCGGTTTCAAATTCTCTCTTCGTCTGCATCGCCATCGCCGCTTGCAAGTCCAAGAGCAATTTTCCTCGAAACGTCGACCAGCCTGGCTCCAGATTATCAGCTAATTCGAGCATTTCGTGACATAGATCGATCTTGCGTTTGAGTAGATGGTCTGAGAGTTCTAAGAGAAGGTACAATGATATAATTTTAGAAACTTAATCGGTCAAGGAACTGATTTCAATGGTTTGGTAAAAATGCTGAAGCCATAGTGCCTTTTAAAAGATACCAATATCAATAAAAACTTATACATTACCTGCTAAACTGTAACCTTTGTAATTTCCATAAACTTGAATCAACGCTAACTTTGCTTGCACTACTAAATGATTATTTGGGTGAAGTGTTAAACTGTATTTCTGTATAAAATTTTCGAATTCCTTGGGATCATTCTTGTTCAGGTTATTTAAATCTTGTTTTAAAGCGTTATTACCCCACACCATCTGTCTGCTTTGAATAAAGTGCTCACACTTTTCACATTTCCATAGAGCATTTTCATCCAATGGATCACTTGATACCAACATTGATCCTGTTGTTATACTTCCCGGTCCATTGCAAAGTGAGCAATATATACTACCCAAATAAGTGCCAAATTCTGTAGGGTCTTTGCACCTATCACATTCACAGTCAAACCATTTAGATTGTTTCAATTGCCTCCTTCTGTCCAATGTTCCCCACAAACTTTGGGTATATGTAGTTGTTATTAATTCACCTTTAGCAATTGGCACAGTTGCAATAAATGATACAATATAGTCGTCGCCTAAAAATATGTGCCGTGTATTCGGCTTGCAGCTATGATCCATCATAGATGCAGTCACATAAATAGCTCGCAACTTTTTCAAGTGGTCTGGAGACCTCACCTCAAATGCGTTAGTGTCCAATATTGCTGCCACTTTCATAATAGTTTCCTCATCAAACGCCAAACCAAGCACTTGAGTCACAAACGTAACTAAATTTGCTTTCAAAATTGTATAAAGGGGGCTGTTAATTCTATCTTCTAAATGAGATTCCAAGTTTATAATATTCTCAAACTGTAATGGACAGCTTTCTTTCATCAACAAAATTCTTACCGGAGCTATAACACAATATGCTGCCTCATTTTTATCGGGTCCCTGATATTTTATTGTGCATTTGTATTTTCGGTCTGTCATGATCTTACATTCAGCTTTATGTACATCAGCTTTTTCGCACTGAGGTCCACACATTGGCCAGTTACATGATGAACAATGGTAGAACTCGTATTTGTCGCCAACTTTACTAGGTTCTAACTTCATTCCGCATGACAGGCACTGTGGAGTACAAGAAATTTTTGGCCCCAGAACTGCCGGTTTCTCCTTGAGGATCATTTCACCTTGCTTGATATCTCTTGTGGCGATCATATGTCGTCCTAAAGTATCCGAGTACTGGATTTTGAAGGCGCAGCATTTAAACTTGTGCCCTTCTCTCCATCCAAGCTTTTGATGGCCTTTTGAGCAATAATACACCAATTTGCATCCTCCGCAGGTTTGATTCGCAGGTTGCTGGCAGACCTCGCACAATGGTATTTCACTTTTCTTGTCCATTTTCCTAATGGACGATTTAGGGCGCGTATACGGCCGCTTCGGTTGATCACTAAGACAATACTCGTTCTAAATAGATTTACATAATTAACACGGGTTAACTGGGACTAGAGCCAACAAAATGGAACAGCATGTTTAGCAAAGTGTGTAGCCGTATTATAATTGATGGTTATGCACATATTGACAATGCTTTTAGTTTGATTTTTTCAATTACTTGATATTAATCTATTTTTATTCTGTAAGTCGGTTTTAATAAAAATATAGAAGAACCAACTACATAATGATAAACACACTTGCTTTAATTGTATTTACTTTTTCGATTTCGCTCTATTTAATTTCGACATAACTATTGAATTTAATATGCAGTGCAACAGTAGTAGAGCACCTTGTGAAAGAGTTCATCCAGGGAAGTACTGCCACCTTACCTATTTCTGGGGCCAAGCATGTTAGCATTACTGCATTCCGGTTTAGAAGGGTAAGGGTGCTGGTGAAATTACAAGCACGTGGGACTTGTCAGCTTATGGCTTAGGGTGGCGGGCGCAGTGGCAGTGTCCCTCAGATCTATGCGATTTAAAGCTCTGAGTGGCACTGCAATTGTTATGAACAGACGTGTAGCTTACCATCAGGTGCACGACTTGTTCGTCCCGTCACTTGGTATTATAAAATAATCTCAGTACATAATACTAAAAAAAAACGACCTTAAAAGTACGCGGAATTACATCTATTTGCCAAGTTTTATTGAAATCGGTTAGCGGAAAGTACGCAAACCCGGTTACATCCCCTAGTTCGCCACTATATGGAACTTGACACAGGAGATAATAAAAATCGGTTCTCACTACTCAAAGTATATTGAGAGAGAAAACGCCTTGAATTGGAGAATAGTAAAATCAACCATTAAAATAATTGCTCGTTATAATAAAATTTAGGCGCTACTTATAAAAATGAATCTTCATGCGTGAACAGCCACCCTTAGAGGTGGATGATATTCTTCAAAATGAAATGGAACCACTATGGAGGTACCCACTTTCCAACAAAAAAAGATTCTTCAAAATCGGTTCGCAAATAATGGAGTCGTCGCATAACATTCATACAAAAAGAAACAGTGGAATTGAGAACCTCCTCCTTATTTTGAAGTCGGTTAAAAACAGACAGAATCTATCTGCTTCCAGAATTAAGTACACGATTGTCGATGCAGGCACAGAAAACTTAAGTCTACACCCAGCCAGCAGCGTATTAACGACATTAAAGGATACTTTCTTTATATTGCAAATTTCTATATACAGTGCTAACACCACTTTCCCTGAGATAAAATACCTAACTATATTGTTATATAAAAGTAAGTGCTACTATCACTCTGGAAAATAAGGTAGTAAGTTGTTATCAGTTTAATGTGTACTATTTCTTAATTCTTATGCTATATTACTTGCCTCCGGAACCGAACTCTACTGCTACAAAACAGTCTGCGCAGTGTCTGCCTGGTTAGGTACAACCACCCTTACTATTTCTTCCGCAAAGCAGAACTATTGTGTTCCAGATTTAAAAGTGGGTAGATCCACTGATATAACGGGTATAAGAGACTTCACGTCCGATTTTCCTCGGCCGGAAACACATTTATGGAATTAAAGATGCTTCTGTAGTATCGTATGAATAAATGAAATATTCTTTATTGCACTATATAAAAAACTACAAAGACTATACAGAACAGTAATGTAAGTGTTACAGAGTAAGGTAACGTACAACAGGCGGCGTTATTGCTAAGTAGGTATTTCTTCTAGGCAACCTTGATACCGTATCGTATTTGCATGCAAAGGCAGCGGTTTCCCAGTAAGTAAATAGTAATAAGTTAGTCTGACTAAGTTTGTATACAACATAAATATCTTTTAACTATCAACAAATATATCTATAACATAGTGTATATATAACAATATATTAAGCCTTCCGCAAAGTACACTAAGCATCTATCAGAATAGTCCGTATTAGAATGCAATAAAAATTCATAATAAACTACCCGTATACCTAAGAAGTGAGACAAATTACAAAACTTTCACTAAAAAAATTACTAATTGACAAATGCTATTATAACTTAAATGAATTTTATGTCGACAAACTTATGTAGTTATTTAATTAAATTTTGTTAAGTTATTTTACGTATTTGACGAAGACTGATGATGGATAATTGACATGTTATTATAATCTCTAAACTGTATTTTTTATTTTATTATTTAGTTTTGTAATGTGTAAAATATGTAAACCTGAAAGTAGCGTTAACGTTATTGTGTTCACTAAGTGCCATGGGGTATGGTGTACGGGGTGTCATAGCAATAAATACTATCTAATGGAACTTGTATCGTTGTGACTTGCATTTTAATTAAATAAATAACGCCATAGACACTATACTGTGTACAGTTGGTAATATTTTCCTATAATACAACGTCGATAACCTCTGGTAAATTTCGTACCCTTGCTATATACGAGTATATATGTCAAAAGTGTTGTTATCACATGAATGTCATTTCAATAATACGAACTACATGAAACATTTTGCCAATGAAATTAATCGACAGTATTTTGTGAATAAACACTTCTGTTTAATCCTCTCTCCTGAAAAGTCATCATTTTGCAAATGTGGCCTTATTAGACCAAGAATCAATTACTATAGGAATAGGACCTCAAGGTTTATTCGAAGTTATTAGACATGAAACCAAAAAATATAGAGTGTTTTTTCACAATGTTTTGTTAACACACTCGCGCGAGGATTGTGCTTTTGCCGATTATTGTGCTGAGGCAGATATTTTTCTCATATATTACGCCGAGGTTGCGCGTGTATGCCAGTGATCAGTGGTATGTGTGAGTAGTGCTTACTTATCCTGTGAAATTTTGATATTGCGTGTCGGTAGAGAATTATTATTTTAATAATGTTGTAGAGCAATAACGCCACTATTAAGATTTTGTATGACCAAACGTTCGTCGATGAAATAAAAGAAATTAAACGATATTATTGTACATTGTTCTCCATCACTTAATGTTTATGTTTACCTTACATTAGAATTCTGCATTAAAAACAGTATGTACAGTTTTATAAACTGTACACAATATGTACACCCTCACAGGGATATTTATACTAACATCATAAACAACAATTTTGGTTCCATGACTTTTAATAATTCATAGTATTTTTTTGTTCAAAAATAAAAATATTTATACAGATCACTCTAAACGGTGATAACCCTGTGCGATAACAAAAGAAAGCGCTAGCGTAAATACCAGTGGGATGCAAAACTCACGAACGGAGTGTGTACGATTGTATAATGTATGCATAAATTCAATCTCAAAGATTCGAGAGTTGTTGTGCCTACGCCCGCAAAAGTTTCTGATAGGTATTTTAGATTCCACTATTGGGTACAGGTCTCGTCTAAAAAAAAGACCAGAGTTTCTGAAGTATTACATTCCACTGCTGAGTATGGGTCTACTACAAAAAAAAGGTTGACTTCATTAAAATTGACATCTCTGCAATTCCGTTCAGCACTTTCTAGATTCATTGGCCACATTTACGGAGAAGCGCTAATGATATTGAAAAAGTTATCGTTATGGCTAAAAAAATGGCAAACGGCCTAGAAGATGAGTTCAAAATGATAATGTGACCAAGTAGTTGAAAGTCTGTCTGTCTGAAAGTAACCTAACGGTGAATGTCGCACTCCACCGAGTATGCAGATAGGACAGTATGGAGATAACTACTATGGAGATAGGACCTTAAAGAAACGTATTCTATACCTAATAAGCTGTTTAGCTTACCTAAGGTTATTAGACATGAAACTAAAAAAATGTAAATTAAAAAAAAATGTTGAAAGATTATAATTTCACAAATTTTTTTCAAATAGTATGTAAAAACATTAAGTAGTATTTTGATTTATATGTCTAGATTTTATTAAATATTTTCTTGAGGTACCTACTGTTTTTTCAATGGGGCTGACATGTTCAATAACGATCAAAGCCCCAAATAAATAAAGACATAAATAAAATACTTAAATAAATTTGTATTGAATTTAATAACATAAATAAATTTGTTTGTTATAATTATTAATACAAAGATCGAACACTTAGAAAAAGATCCTTCGATCCGGCCGGATTCGAACCGACGTCTTTTAGATAACCGTGCCAGACGCTATGCCAACTAAGCCACGAAACAAACCAGCAAACCTCACGAATTTTTCTATGTGCTTGTTTTGTCGCATCTTTGTATTTGGTTTTTTCAACGACTTTCTAGCTGTAGCGCCATCTATGAGAAATCTATAGTTAAATAAAATTTATTTAAGTATTTTTGTTGTCAATTGAGACTCGTTTGTATTCTGTACTCAAACTGTATACACAGTTTTGTAGAACTACGTTTAGCTAAGAAAATTGTCCTTCTTTTTTAATTATAAAATAAATAAATAAATAATAAAATAGTCGAAGACAGGTGGAAGTGAAGAAAAAATATTGACTACGTACTTTCTCAAAATCGCGATCTTCAGTACTGAGTGACCGACACTTAGGAAGCAGAACAATTTTACCACCGTTAGTTGAAATGGCGTATGCGGCATTTTGAAAAACAAATGTTATATATGTGTATATATATGTGTGTTATATATCTTGGTGTGATTAATAGAAAAAACCGATCCGTCACTATATTTTCCAAGATGGATAATATGAAATTACTGCAAAAGAAAAGTAGATATTTTTTTATTTCATTTCTTTAAACATTACATTCTCGGTTTTGAGTTTTTGCCCCTTTCAACTAATGGCGGTAGAATTTTGCTCAATAGGTACGGTTTACAACTACACGTTTTAGTTTTGCTTGCTTTGCGTCCTACTTTCCGCGGCCATTTGTTTACACAGTTACAGTGCACAGGGCACATAACTACCTTGTCAATTAATTTAGTGTTTAACGAACATTCAGTCGATTTAAACATTTAACAATGTAAGAGGTACACAACCTCATTTAGTTTATACTCTTACTACATAATAAACTATTTTAATATTTAGCTCGTCCATTTGTTTAAGCA